GGGGGGGGGGTGGGAATAATTCCCGTCTAATGAAAATAGGGAGAGGGGGCCGGTTCAGCCTCATGTTGGACTAATCCCTCTCTCGTTGAGCCGGTTGGGGTCGGTTCAGCCCCCAAGTCCAGCGTCACTTCTAATCCAGTTTTAGAAGAATTGAAACTTTACAAGCATCAAGACATCACAATGCAGAAAAAGAAAAATGTTAAAATGATCCCCTAACTCTTTACAGGGGTTATTTTAGCCCCAAAGTTTATAAAAGTGTCAATTTAGTCCTCAAATCTTTCAATATATGTTAATATAGCTCCAATGAGGACTATTTTAACTCCTATTAAAAAAGTCTAGGGAATAATTTAGTACTTTTATGAACTCTGGGACTAAAATGACTCTATGTAAATACTTCAGGGGCTATTTTGACACTTTAAAGCAAAACTCGAAATAAATTGGCTTACCATTGTCAGTGCAAAGTTTTGGAGGTGGACAAACAAGGCGGATATGATTCTTCTCCACAACATAGCTTAGACGAGATCTAACATATTGATTTGATGCAACACCGCCAGAAACTACCTAAAAGTAGAGCATTAAAAAAAATTAAATGTTAAAAGGCCATGATATGTTCAAGAGTCAAACTAAAACTAAATCGCAGAATGTTTCCATCACCAAGCAATTAATAGAAGGTTCCATCTCTTTTGCCCATTCGATTGCTCGTTCACACCTCTCCTCAAGATGTAAAACAGCAACACGCTATAGAGAATAGCCAATACATTAAACATTTTCCAATAATAAAAATGAATGCTCTTAACTAACCTGAAAAGATGCTGCAATATCAGCTCGGGATTTTCTGTCTCGAAAACTAGCTGAAGAAATGGGATTGTTGCCCACACATCTGCATATAACGTTCTCATAAATTATATGCATTAAATCAAGAATGAAGAGACTGATTGAATTCTAATTGCTAGAAAAATGTCGAGCTATCATGATTCATGATAGAAAATTCTGATATAGCATGCAAGCATTCATGAAAAAAACAATCAAATACTATAATGGGCAAATTTACATACATACCGCTAAATCTTATCTATTTATGACATCTAAAGTTAGATTTTTTACATTTGCACCACCCAAATCATTCATATCACATAAAAAATACCACTATTTAAACTTTTAAAAATGAAATACGCCTTTTCATGCATAGATAAGGTGGGCATATATGTAAAAATTGAAGTTTAGGTGTTAGATAGGTAAATACATAAGAGTTGAGTGGTATGCTTATAGATCTTCCATATTATAAATGCTATTTTAGCATATACTAGCAGCGTAAAGACGAGCAAACCTACACAAATCAAGATAAGCATTTGATATCAGAATTAACCTAAATAGCAATAATCAAACAAATATTTTTACTAGAAAGACCAATAGTCAGTTACAACCAACAAATTAAAATGGGATATATAAACCAACACGACAAACAACACACGAAAAGGATGACACTAATGTTGTGGTGGTGGATGTTGGGGTTTTGGAACGGTGGCGACAAGGTGGGGAAGTGGAGCAAGGGGACAGGTACAACAACGAAACAGCAGGTATTTGCTATCCTGGGCGGCAGCAAGCTGATAGGTGAGCTGGCAGAAAAGAACCAGCGGGTAGGTACATTTCTGTGCAGTGGCAGCAACACTGGAGGGCTGGACAGTGAGAAAACAGCAAGGGGTAGGGTTTTCTGGGTGGCAGCAGCGATGCAGAATGGCCGAACAGCAGGAAACAGCAACGGGATGGGAGTTTTGGGTGGCTGCCTAGGGGCAGCAGCAGGTAAGGGGCTAGAATCGGCAGGGATCAGCAAGGACTTGGAGGAGAGACTGGGAAGGCTAGAGTAGGCAGGGACATCAACTCCTCACTGTTCTGGATGGCGGCAGCAAGCAGTGCAGTGGGTGATGGCGCCAGCAAACAGGGTAAAGGATGATGGTGGCTGGAAGGCATAAACTGCAGGATGAAACAGCTTAAGCAGCTGTTACAGGCAGCTGCATCAGTTAAGGGCAACAAGGAGCGACTGGAAGCGATGTGGGAAGGATTCGGAAGCATTAGTTAAGGATAATCACCACATCAGGAGCAAAATATAGCCGGAGCACTACTCGAACCTTGGATAATACCCTAGAAGGGAAAACTAGAGACGCCGGCTGCTGTCACTAAAAAACACACGCAAAATACTAAACCTAATAAATCAAGAAAACCAATTTATAATAATAGGATAATAAAGAGTGGGCCAAGGGACTGGCCTTGGCCGACACTCCACGATAAAGAAAAACCTGGACCTGTTTGATCCAAGCAAGCAGGCGGGCGCTGCTTACAGTTGCGAGAAATCCCACATCCGTCCCCTCCAAAAGCGAGAGAGATAAAGTATATTGAATGAGAAGCTAAGAGGCGGCTCTTCCAATCATGTTGGAAGAATCCAACATGTGTGGATTGAAACCATTTGGTAAATGATCTCTTAAAACACCAATGCTAGCAGATATGAAGATGCAAGCTTACTCAGTAATTGCAGGCATAATTGATTGAAGCCTTGTTATTTTTAATTTCTTCTTACATAGATACTTTTAAATGACTTGACATAACTAGAATCTATTGATTATTTTAAAATAAGAATAGAGGCAGGAAGTAAAAATACATTCTCCATGAAAAGAAAAAATCAATCTGCATATTTAATTTCTAATTTTTTTATCACAAATAAATTATGGGGGTGAAGAGACATAATTCACTAAGGCATCATGACAGCATACAGTGTCATGATTAACAATTTCAACTCGCAAGACAAACTAGCACATTATAGGATAGAAACAAGTTTATGATACCCTTTTGTTCCAACTAGAAGAGTCCCAAAAGACTACTTTGGAGTCAAAGATTGGCAAGATTGGTTGAACAGAAGGGCAAGGATAGAGAGCTAATCACTGTAATCTAGTCCTAATGCATTCTAAAAAGCAAGAAGAATGATGATCCCTGGAGCTCATTGCACACTAGCAACGTTGGGCAACCTAATACAAAATGCCTCTGCCCCAAATAGTCATCGACTTCCCCATCGGAGGAGACATTTCTAGAGGTTTGCATTATCTGGTTATAATCAAAAAATCAAAGCAAATCAAATATTTTTTGGATAATTTGGTTTGGTTCGTGCATTAATAGTTCGGACATTGGTTTGAGAAATGAAAATATTTTGTGTCAACTTTTTTTAGCAAAATCTTATTCAATAAGTCCCAATATACAGATGTTTGCTCACATGAAATGAATCATTATAGAATGTCTTATCATTGAACTATATTTAACCTCATTTAGTAGTAAGCGTGATCCAAATAAATGCTAGTATGTTTTATTACTTAACGTTTTTTCGGAAAATTTACATGCATACCATTTAGCTCCTACGTATTTACATATCTAACACCTAAAACTCATTTTTTACATTTATGTCATCTTACCTATGCATAAAAAGGTATATTTCCCCTTTTAAAAGTTAAAATAATGATTTTTTTTATGTGATATGAAAATTTGGCGTGGTATAAATAAAAAAATCAAAGTTTTGGTGTTAGCTATGTAATACATAAGAATTGGGTGATATGCATGTAAATTCCCCATTCATTTACTTTTCACATGTTAGATATACAAATAAATAGGAATTGGGTGAGGAATACTCCGATTTACAATTAATTTTGGTATATCTAAACCAAACCAAAATAATAGAACCAAACCATTGTTTGGTCGATTTGGTCGTACATTTTATTTGGTCGGTCGGTATTAATTTTTAGTTAAAACCAATTGGTTTTACAAATTTATTATCCAAACCATCCAAATAAACTAAATGCATGCCCATAGGCATTTCTTTAGTAAAACATATTATGGAAAATTTACATAGCATTCAACTCTCAAACAAAGGTATAATAATCCAACAGTCATATTAAATAAAACAAATTGCTTCAATTTTTCCCAAACTTTTGAAAATGAGGCCACCTTAGTCAAGCCTCACTAATAGTCCCTCATCAAAGCTAGCAATGTGTGACTTCAACAGCTCCAATCAACCACAATCAACAAACCTAATTAACCACCTTGTAAATCCTATTGAAGGCATCCATATAAACTAAAAGCAAACCACTCCTAGCAATTATGTAACATCTACTGACTTGAATTGTTTCACTTTTCCCAAGCTTTTGAAAACGAAGTCATACATCAAACCAAAAGAATAGATTCAAGGATCAATGCTTCAACTTGGGTTGAATAGTATGACACTCAAATAAGATTATTTAATATGATTAATAAGATTATTTAATAGTATTTAAATGATGTGATAATGATACAATAATTATAATTTCACCAAATAAATATATAATAATCTAAATCAGGAAACATCAGCATTACATATTTTGAATATGATTCTACATCAAAATTTTGGAATATAAAAGTTTGATTATTTTTTTTAAGTATAATTATATATTGATACAAATGCTTCCAAAAATATCAAGAGCACGATCATTAGATTAGAACGTCAATATCAACCCAAATTATGAGAAAATTTGTCAAATATAAATTAGGGATATTAAATTCCATAGTTTTTTATATATAAATATTTAATTTCTCACCATCTAATCAAAACAAAAAAGTCATGATTTGATCAATATTACAATCTAGTCGTACATCAATAACCATATCAATTGACTTTGTGTGAAAACAAGTTTTGGATCAAACCATTCAGATGCCCCAGTTCACAATAAAATTAGTCAAACCAGCTGGTAAGGTTGAATTTTGAAAACCAAACTCTCTCCAACAAAATAAAACTCACAAGAGTTATCATACAAACCATAATGGAATGATACCAACAAGGTTTTACTACTATTTTGATCTTTTACTGTTTTTTATTGCCCCAATGCCAATATTCATTTATAAAAGACCTCAGCATTTGGATCCTAAATTAAATGATGTAAGAAAGCTTGAAATATGTTCTCAATTATTATAGATATCGAGGATTGCTTGATATCAATCATTAATCCATCTAAGACTGATAATCATGGTGCCAAACAGTCTAATTAATATTTCTTGCCTTCTAATTTCTTTTATTCTCAAGGTTTTGATGATGTTCAAATCATAAATAATTTAGACCAGTTCTCATACGCCACCCAAAATTTAGATGAGAAAAAGCATTCTTAGAACACGAATTTTATTTCAAGAACGGAGCTGAATAACACCTTATCTGCTGTTTTATCTTCTTCATAAAATCCTTCTTTTGGCAAATGTTCATATGCTTATAGTTATATTAAAAAAAAATCATTGTTTTGCAAACCCAATGCCTTGAAGAATCAATCCTCCAGCAGTACTCAAATTAGAGAGAAAGTTGTGGGGGTGGTTGCCCACTGGGTTTGGATGGGGGTTTAAGAGAATGAAAAAGAAAGAGATAACTTTGTGCCCATCATCAACCCCATCACAACCTGAGAAAAGGGATTTAAGGCCTGGTTAGAATCTACATAGTAGAGAAAATTGCCTTTCTCATTTGGAACCCTTAGAATCACTTCTTAAAATGGCAGCATTTTGCCAATCTTTTCTCAATTAATAAACCATTATTGCATGGTGGGGAATATGATGAAGGTCAAAGATGAGTAAGGGAACCGAGGAACTCAAATAGCATGAACATATTTGAAGTGCTTCGTTGAACCCAAGTACCAAAATGCAATTTAGTTCAAATCTAGTAACCAAACCATGCACAAAAGTCAACCCTAGACCATAGTAAACCCCTGACTACACATGCTACTCAATGAGACAACTTCGTAGTCCTCATTGTAGATACATGTTTTTATTACAACTGCTACAGATCTGGAAAAAAAAAATCGCTATAGCAACAAGGCACCAGGATCATTCACAATTAAAAAAGAATCTCAAAAGAAGTAGTCTCTTGTAATATACAACAAAAAAAAATGCAGCATATTAGTCTAAAATACTTCACTATCATTAGAAATAGGCATCTCTAAAAAAGTAGGACACTTGCTCGATCAAAAAAGAACAACAGTGTTAGCGTGCTATCTGATACTCCAAAATATATTGCCTAAGAGATGCACATTTCAAGAAAATCGCTAAAACCCATATTAAGAAACGTTTGAATGAATAACTTACACATTTCTAGATTCAATAGCCAATCTGACCTGAGTTTTTAGGCCAGCATATGAAAAATTGCAATCCTTATACTGCCTCATTGGAATCTAGAAAGTTTAAGAAAAAAAGGCATCTTCAATTCACTGGCAAATGCAAGCAGTTAAGAATAGGAGGATATACATACAGGCCACTCAATTCTTATGTATTTACATATCTAGCACCTAAACTTTACTTTTTTACATTGTTGCCACCTTACCTATGCATGAAAAGGTGTATTTCACATTTTTAAGGTGAACATAGTGGTATTTTTTATGTGATATGAGAGATTAGGGTGGCATAAATGTAAAAAGCAAAGTTTAGATGTTAGAAATGTAAATATCACATCTTTGAATTTTAAGGATTGGGTTATATGTATGTAAATTCAATCAATTTCAGCAGAAAAACATACTTTGAATTTTAAGGAATTTGAATCACCATCACGAGCAAGTTCTTCAAGTGCCGGGCCACCACCTTTACTCATATCAAGGCCAAGCCATCTTGCTGTTTTATCATATGCCTCTCCAATAGCATCATCTATTGTTGTCCCAAGTTGCACATAATGTCCAACATCACGAGCCAGGATGAGGAGATTGTGGCCTCCTAAGTAGATAAAAGATGTCTAAATTGCAAATACTGTTTAAAAAAATCATGTAACTAGATGTGATAATTCCAAACAAATCGTGCTAAAATGAAACTTACACTTCAATTTACATCAATAAAATAAGACAAACAGAACCACAGTGTGAGAATAATCAACAATCAATAGTTAACAAGATTCACAAATGCAAAATCAATCACTCTACATTAATAATAGCATGAAATAATTACTTCCTCAAGGTTAAATAGATGTTAAGGCTTTGTTTGGGGAACTATTGCTTTAGAGGTACTTTTCAAAGACCTAGCAGACCATAATTTTAATCTATCTGGGAAATACATAACGAAATCTCACACAAAAAATGCAATTTCTCTATGGCTTCCCAACCATGAAGAATAGACTTACGAAGGCAGTCACCCAACGCTACTAGAAAAGCACAGCTTAATTTATTACAGCATAGCACAATACTGCATTTCCAAATGATGCCTGAACATATTTGGACTTGTTCGTACTCATTTATTTATTTTTTTAATATAATATTGACAATAAAAATCTTGTGAAGTTCTTGACATAATTTTTCAAGGAGATACCAATTGGAATGTGTATTAATTATTTTTAGTTTCCTAAATAAATTTGATAGCAATCCATCAATTTCATGATTGAAGCAGTATTAGTCAACCCTCAACTAGCATCAAACTCCTTTTTTCTAGAATGCAAAGTGACATGTACTGCAAATATGATTATATATGTTATATTTTAATCTACTTTTATGTTAATTTTATAATTTTGGAAGGTGTTTGTAATGTCTTTTGCAGGATTCAAGGAAGAAGATTCATCAAAGCTGAAGAACCAAAGAACAAGCTATTTTGAGGAGCGTCTAAGCGCCGAAGTGGAGCGCTATGGTGCGAAGGAGATCGAATTTAGTCCCAAATACAGAGAAAGCGGAAAGTAAGCACCGCGAAGGCAACGCTTGGGCTCCACAGTCTAAATTGAACATATTTTGTATTTTCAAAAGAAAAGATTGTATGCAAATAACAATCAAAATAAACCAAGAAATGTAAATTTTTATTCCATAATGAATAGTCCACTGACATAGTCGAAATGAAAGTAGACAACTGGCTAAATTCAAACATAAATGATAACAAAAAACTACCGCCCATACCCCAAAAAGGAAAATACAATAGATAAAAAAATAATACCAAGACAAGAAATCTAAAACTGAAAAGTCTGCTCCAGTTGAGACGGTCCTACTAACAGTAGAATGAAACTTGCTATGCAAAATATCAAAGGGTAAGATTGACAAAGAAATTCAGTAAATAATAGCTAATTATTAAGGCATAAACAACTAGGTAAATGGGGCATACAATATGAACAAAAAATAAGGATGATTACTATGTGTATATAAAACATCAAAGGGTAAGAAGAGTGTGGTAAACATCAAATATGTTTGTTTATCATAAGAAAACAAAAAATATTTTCTAATCAAGCTTCTTATTATTCAGTTTTTCATTTATTATTTATATAATCGTGTTTAACAAACTCCTAAAATCAAAAGTCAATACTAACTTAAGGAAACCCAACAATTTTCTGTAGAGTTGTCATTCTATGGGCCCGATGATCCAGCTAGCTAATATCCAAAACGCATACAATCACACAAAATCATACCATATTTTCCAAGTTATAATAAGTAAAAATATGATATTTAATGCAGGTTTATGATATGACAGATGCAATTTCATATAAGTGCAAGGAAAAAAAATATCATAATTACAGAATTAACTCAATTATGCAAGAATATTACATCAATAATAGAAGATAGTGATTTCAACATGAGAAAAAATTGAGGCTTAAAAAAAAAGTAATAAGGTCATGAATGACAATCCTAATAAATAGTTATAACCTTACGAATAATAAGGATTAACATACATAACTAGGAACTGTACATTCATCCTCTAATAAAAAGTAGTTACTTACCTCGAGGAGGCAAACACGATAATTCTACAAATTTGACGAATCGGCTATCAATCCTGCACCAATTAAAAAGTAAGATAAAATAATTATAAAATTAAACTTATTTATTTATGAAATCAGATACAACCAAATCGACCTTTAATTATTATCATTATTATTATCATTAAATTATTATTATTATATTTATGAAGTAAAAAGTTATAAACATTAACCAAGAAAACATAATTAAAATATTATCTTGTTTTTGTTTTTGATAGGAAAGAAAAAATTTTTATTTCTAAATAAAATTTTAGGGGATTTACATACATAACACCTATCCCTAATAATAACAACATTAAAACTTCACTAAATTCTATAGGTTTTTAAATTTGATTTTTCCTCCGTTTGCCTTAAATCCAAGATTCAGTGAATCCCATTGGAGGACAGATCTACAGGATCCATAGAAGCTATGCGCGTGAAGGTTACCTTCCTCGATGGTTTTGGGTAGGAGCGGGCGGAAGGAGGATGACACCACGCTCTTGTTGTTGTTTGCTCCTCCTGTGACAACACTATGAGGGTTTTGAGCATGGGAGCAGAAGGAAGGGGGAGGGTTTTGAGCATGGGAGCAGAAGGAAGGGGGAGCTAGGTGATGGCTTCGAGCAAAATCCAGAGACAAGAAGTAGGGAGGCTGTTTTGGTTCCTTAAATAGCCGAAAGGGAGGTGCCGTCTAAAAGAAAAAAAAAAGAAGGCGGGGGATAGTAGGAAGAAGAAAAGGAAGGAGTCGCAATGTCCAAACCGAGAAGGCAGCGAAAAAGGAAAAAAGGCTTTGTTCTCTTGATAGCAGGAGAAACAGGGAGGAAGAAAAAGGTTAAGCTTCGGTGATACATACTACCCTCCATAAAAGTATTTAGTCCCCAAATTTATACTTAAGCTCTAAAACAGCTGCGGATACTTTGCGCTCATCTTTTCTTCAATCTCCAAAGTTGCTTCTCGTTATGACTGGTTCTTTCAAAACACTCTGCCAAAAGGAATTAATCGGGGGTGAAGCTGTTAAACAACACGTTCCAATATATGATCTGATATTTCTTCATAACTCAAGTCTCATTGAATCACCAATGGCTCATACCGAATAAATGAGTCATCATGCACATAACGTCGGAGTGGAGAAACATGGAAGACATTGTGTACTTTTGCAAGTCTCAGGAAGAGCCAAATGGTATGAAACTCTACCGACTTTCTCGATCACCTCGAAATGACCAATGAAATGAGACTGAAGCTTTCCAGTCTAGCCAAATTACGTAACTCCACACATAGGTGAAACCTTCAAAAAAATATGATCTTTAACATTAAGTTTAATCTCTCTGAGCTTTGGGTCGAAGTACTTTTGATGAATTCTAGGTCGCACGTTGTCGATCTAGAATATGATGAAGTTTCTCGGTAGCTTGATCTACTAGTTGAGGTTCAAATATTATGTCATGTCGATACTAGCTAGGAAGTTGTTATTATAAGCAAACTTTACTAATAGAATATAGTCTTCCCAGCTACCTCTAAAATCCAAAATGCAAGCTCTCAATAAATCTTCTAAGATTTGAATGGTACACTCTGACTGTCCATCTATTTGAAGATGAAAAACAGTAATGAAGTTCAATCTTGTGTCCAAAGTTACTTGCACTTTCTTCCATAGCCTGGAAGTAAATCTTTTCTCTATCTGATGCAATGACGGTTGGAATTCCATGCAGTCGAACAATATTATCTATGTAGAGCTTGGCCAATTTATTCACTGAATAAGTTTGCTTGATTGGTAAAACATGAGCTAACTTATTCTATCAATAACAACCTAAATAACATCATTGTAATAACCAAAAAAAATCAAAAATAAAAAAATAAATAGTAATATTAATAATCGAATAGAAAAAAGCTAAGCACCTCTTCAATTTCGACTTAAGTCGTATGCCCTCTTCGAACATATCGACAAAGAGAGGGCAAGTGAGAGGGAATACAGAAGATCAAGAGAATGCAAACTAAGAATAATATGAAAGATATGCATGATAATTATAATGATTAGAGTACAACAAACTAAGAATGCATATTAGTAAAAACATTAAAATATCTCAGAATAATGTATATTATGAAGAATAAAATAACTTATATATAAATGTTTGTATGTGCACGTCCAAAGGAGGAGTTTACTCATAATGGTACAGGTAGGGGACGTCAGTATACCCGCACACATAGAGGTTTTTTCTACCACCCCAGAACAATTGTGATTGTTAGATCACTAATCAAATGTGCAGAAGGGAGAATATAGGCCAGAGGCAAGTAGACGGAGCATATCTCTCCAGATAATTGTGATGTTTAGATCGCTAACCATTGCACCGACAGAAGAATATCGGTCAGGGCAGATTAGAGTTTTTCCATCCCAGACAATTGTGATGTTTAGATTGTGAATCGTTGTGCCGACGAGATAATATCAGCCAGGGAAGTGTTTATTTTTACGGTGATACTCAAATAGATAGATACGTATGTAAAAAGTATAAAACAAAAACAACGTTAAAATAAAAATATATAAAAATTTAGAATATTTTTATTGAGTAAAGATCATTGATATATACATTAACATATTATAAGATTTCTTATAAAAATATAAAAGAGCAGTATAGTAAAAAATTTCTAATAGAGATATAAAAGACTAGCATGCATTTAAGTTTTTTTTCCTTGGATTGTTGTATTTTAGAAGTGTGTGTGCTCCTAGGTTATCTTTAGAAAACTCACTATGTTGTTTTGACATTTTTTAAGTTTTAAGCTGATAAATAAGATGAATAGAATAGAAATAAATATTTACAGGAGATAACAGTAACTCTTTCTTGAATATTTGAATATTAATCTTACTGATAGAAATAGAATAACAAAGAATTGATTTCCACCGTCTAACCATCTGTTCGTATTTTGGTTAATTTCAAACCTTAGACCAGTTGTGACAATCATGACCTTGCTTTGATCTTGACAAGCTAATCAAGAAGTCCATAAAAATCTCCTCTCATTTCCACTCTGGAAT